CCTTCCTGAAATTCCCCCCTTTTCCTCTACTTTTTCCTTTTCTCCTTCCTCTTTCTTTTATCCTTGCCTCTCTTCCTTCTTTTCCTTTCCTTTTTCCCCCTTTCTTTCCTCACTTCACTTCTGCTTTCTTTTTTTTCTTAATTTTTGAGTCAGAGTCTCACTCTGTCACCCTGGGTAGAGTGTCATGGCATCGTCGTCAAACTCTTAGGCTTGAGCAATCGTCTTGCTTTACCCTCCCAAGTACCGGGACTACAGGTGCCCACCAAGACTCCCAGCTAGTTTTTTCTATTTTTAGTATAGATGAGGTCTCTCTCTTGTTCAGGCTGGTCTCAAACTACTGTGCTCAAGCAATCTGAGTACTCCCAGAGTACTAAAATTATGGGAGTGAGCCACTGCCTCGACCTTCTTCTCTTTTCTTTCTTCTTTCTCTTCCTTCTGTCTGACAATTACAAACATATGACCTTGCCACTTACTTATTGTGTAAGCTTAAGGTAAAGAATTCATGACTCTGAGCCTCAGTTTTCCTTACCTGTAAAAGAGGAATGAAAGTGTCATAGACCTCACGAGTTGTTCTGAGGTTTAAATGACATCAAGAATGCAATGCCGTTTGAACAGGGCTTAGCAAACGACAGCTGTAGTTGTTAACACCATCACCTCACTATGAGCCTCTGTAGAAAAGATGATGATCTCAACACCCATCCCAGTTTTTTATTTTTCTCCCTTCATCTCCTCTTTGCTCCTGACTTCTGATTTTATCCCCATCACCACATACACATACCTAGGTATCTCGCTGCCTCACAAGGCCCCTCGAGAACCCCTGAAATTCTACCTTCTGGGTTCCTGCTCTCTCTCTGTCCCCTAGGTTCCTACTTCCGGCTCCCCGCCTTGCCCACTGCCATCCTGCTGCAGTGCCTCTGCCCAGCCTCACCCGCTGTTTCTCAGCGATGCCTTTCCTCAGGAAAATGCAGGCGGGGCCCAAGGGGAACTGCATGGAGCTCCGGACACAGCTCAGCCGGCCCCAGTCTCCAGAAGGCCCCTCCTCCCTGCCCCAGGGGCGCAGCCTCCTCAGCGTCCCTAGCCTCCTCTCTTTCGCCACCTCTTCCTGCCTCTCTGGGCCTCTCTCTCTGTCTTCCAGCTGTGACAGCTGGGTCAGAAATGTCCACCGGGCTGGGCAGGGATCAGAGCTGCTCCTGCCTTCCCATCTGGCTTGAGCAGGATGGGTGGGGAGAGCCAGTCTGGGTCTCTGATACTCCTTTATCCCCAGAGTGAAATGGGAAAGTACATTTTGAAATCAGGGATTAGAGCAGAGGGCATGCGCTAATTCAGTGTTCCAACAGGCATTGGTGGGGGGGGAGGCTTACTGTATGCCTGGACTTCAGGCAGTGAGACAGAGAGGACAGGGCCCTTGGCCACGAGCTTTCCCTAGTGAGGGAGGAATGTGTGCAGGAAGGGAGGAGGTCAGGAAGCAGGTGTGCAGTGACCAGGAGTATAGCATTTGCCTTCTCTTTGCTCATCCTTCCCTTCCTTTCTTCTTGAATAATTCAGGGGGGAAGAGCAAAGTGGTGGTAGTGATGGGAGGGAACTATGGAGGGTGAGAATCATGGTGGTGTCAGAGCCCAAAGGGGTGGTGATGAGGGTGTCCACACTAGGGAGGCAGGCAGGGCTGGGACCATCTGGTGTGGCTAGTGGGGTGAGGGGAGAGTGCCCCTGGAGGGGCAAGGTGGCCCAGAGTGATGGGGCCTGAAAGGTGGGGATGCAACCCATGAGAGGACAGGTTGGTGTGGAATGTGGGAGCATGAGCTGGGGCGGGAGGTGTGTGTGTGTATCTGCATGCATTGTCCAGGGCTGATGGGTCATGCAGGAGGCCACACATGCGGATCTGGCAAGGACCCAAATAGAAAAGGACGTCCACTCATGGAGGCAGCATGGTAGAGTGTTAAAGCCAGGTTAGGGTGGGAAAAGCAACCCCATAGGGGTTGGATGGCAATGGAGAAGAGATTGGTTACATATGGGGATTCCAGTAAAGGTGATGGGAGCCAAGTCTCCCTCCCACTGTTGGAAAGGGAGCTACTAAAATAGAAAAAGTAGAATGAGCCTGACTGTGCTGGAGGCATTGGAATGTGCACATAGATTTCACTTGCAGAGATACAAAATAAAAATACATGACATCTCAAGAGTGTACAGGAATGTTCGTACATACATTCTCCAGCTTTCTCCACCCAGAAAACTGCAGAATTAGTGACACCCCAGTATTAATGAGCACCCTTAGCATCTAGATCTTGACTTTGAAATACCATTCTCCACTAAAAGGAACCAAGGCTTCTAGGTGAAATGGCCAATTCCAAGTCTAGAGCAGGAAATGAACATCAGCCTAAAATACCTTGTGCTTAAAGAGTCATGGGGACATGTTAAAAGAACACAGGCATCTGCTTGAAGAGGCTCCACTGCCCATACTGGAGAATTTGAGAATTGAAATAAATGATAGTAACAAATTATATAGGACAACATAGGGAACCAGGGGGCCATACACAAATGAATAAAAAGAAAAGTTGAGGGGCAATGCCTGTGGTTCACGGGGTAGGGCGCCGCCCCAGACAAAAACTGAAAAAAAAAAAAGAAAGAAAGGAAAAAGAGAGAGAAAGAAAGTTTGTTATTGCCCTATCTTTTTCAAAGTACCTCCCTGCAAAATACTAATTTCAAAGGAAAGCGTCAGTTTATAGTAGACAGACCTGGCAGACGCCATCTTAATCAAGTGATCAAAAAAAATATCATCAGTAATGTGACAAACTGAAATTACGCACCACCTGGTAGGATGCAAAGAGAACACAGCATCAGTTTTGTGATATTCCTGAATTTAATGGTAAGACACCAGACAAGTCCAAATAGAGGGCTGGTTTACAAATTAACTGGCCTGTCAGCTTAAAAAATGTCATGATCCTGAAGGTTGAAGAGAGATTGAGGAACTGTTGGGAGACTGGACGAGACAAAGGAGACATGGCTAAATGCAACACAGAATTATTTTGCTACAAAGGTCTTTATTGGGACAACTGGTGGTTTTCTGGCCACCTCTGGTGCCCACTGGCTGGTACATACATCACCCCAATCTCTGCCTTCATATTCACATGGCCTTCACCCACTCCTCCTCACTTCTTCCTTCTCCTGCCTCTCTCATTTCCTTCCTTTTTCTCTCCCTTTGTTCTGTTCAGAATGGAGCTCTGAGGACAAGGAATAGTGGAGTCAGAAGACTAACACTGGGATGCTGACTCCACAGTTCAGGTACTGCTCAGCAGCTAAGTCCATTTCTTTGGGCCTCAAGCTCCTTCACCTGCAGAATGAAGCAACTCCATGCTGTTTTGGAAGCTCCCAGATAAAGTGGAATTCCAGGACCAGAGTAGTTAGCAGGAATGAAATGGAGCTGGGTGTTGAGTATTTACAGTGTGCCTTTAGTGGAATACTTAATTTTTTTTTAAAATTGACATATATTAGTTATACCTATTTTAGGGTACACATGATATTTTCATACCTACATACTATGTGTAATAATCAGATCAGGGTAATTGGGGTATCTATTACCACAGACATTTATCTTTTCTTTTTTTTTTTTTTTTTGAGACAGAGCCTCAAGCTGTCCTCCTGGGTAGAATGCTGTGACATCACAGCTTATAGCAACCTCAAACTCCTGGGCTCAAGCGAGTCTCCTGCCTCCACCTCCCAAGTAGCTGGGACCCCAGGTGCCCACCACAACGCCTGGCTATTTTTTGGTTGTAGCCACCATTGTTGTTTGGAGGACCTGATCTGGATTCGAACTCGCCACCTTAGGTGTATGTGGCTGGTGCCTTAGCCACTTGAGCCACAGGCACTGAGTCTATCTTTTCTTTACCTTGGGAACAATTATCTTCTAGCTCTACTAACACGTACAATAAATATAATTATTTATTGTAAATATATATTTATATATAATAAATATAATTATTTATCTATAATTTCCCTACTAAACTAGTATATACTATGACCTCTCACACAAGAAACTTGTTTATACTGACAGGCCCTCTGTGGTTCTTGTCTGACCTGTGTCCAGTTTGTGCCTCACTGACAGTGGCTCTTACACTGGGAGCCTGCCCCAGTGTTGTCCTCAGCATCCTGGAGTAAGCCTGGCCTGGGACAGGCACTTCAGATGAAAGGTGCAAGGTCAGTACACAACTACAGCCAGCAACTTTGCCCATGGCAAACCATCTCTATGAACTAGGTAAGTTTTCTTGCTCATGGAACCATCTGCATTGGCAGTTAAGAGTTCCACACTTCTTCTTCCTCCTCCCTCTGCTTCATTGTCACTGTCATCATAGCATAGTGGCAAAATCCAGTGATCTACTTTGTGCCAGACAATGCTTTAAATCTGTGGTTCTGAAAGGTAAATGATTACCAGAACCACCTGGAGTGCCTGTTACAGCAGATTCCCAACGTCCACCCAGAGGTTCTGAGGCAGTAGGTTTTGTGGGGCCCGAGAGTTTGCATTTTTTTTTTTTTGAGATAGAGCCTCAAGCTGTCCCCCTGGGTAAAGTGCCATGGCATTATAGCTCACAGCAAGCTCCAACTCCTGGGCTCTAGCAAGTCTCCTGCCTCAGCCTCCCAAGTAGCTGGGACCACAGGCGCCCACCACAACGGCTGGCTATTTTTTGGTTGCAGCCGTCATTGTTGTTTGGCAGGCCCAAGCTGGATTTGAACCCTCCACCTTAGGTGTATGTGGCTGGCGCCTTAGCTACTTGAGCCATAGGCACTGAGCAGAGTTTGCACTTCTTATGAGGTCCAAGGTGAAGCTGTTTTAGTCACTGTCGGGGACCTCACCTGACCACCTCTGCTGACAAATCTCTGATGACCATCCCATCCCAGAACCCCAGAAAGTTCTACTGGACAGTCCTGTGTTCCTAGCCACACTGTTACATGCTGTGTTAAGTGTGACTTTTAGAGCTTTATTCCCAGAGCCCAGCACAAACCATGTCACAGAGTGTTTGATAATTATTTATTGAAAGAAATGACCAGATGAATCCCAAACCACCCCCCTCACATACCCCTGACTCTCTAAAACCACAGATTGCAACACCAGATTTACTGAAAAGCACAGATAATATCCTTGGATTCCCTCCACCTCTTGCCTTACGCCCCAGTCCCGAAGGCAGCAGTTTACTATATGTCTTCAAGGTTAGAGTCTGAGTCCTCACCAAGTTGGTTCTGAATTTGACTTTGTTTCCGGTACAAATAGGCCACCTACAGGGAGAGAGTAGGACAAGATGGTCAGAGGCTCCCTGGATGCCCCCAGGTCCACAGTGTTCCAGACCAGAATCCACCTCTCTAAGAAGCTGGTCTGACCAAGCAGCTGGATGGCCCATCCCCTTCCAAGGGCCTTACCTGGGTACTGGTGGTAGCTGCCTCTGGCTGCTTGTCTTCACGGACTCGAATAAACCGAGGGAAGCGAAGGGAGATGCCCTTCTCACTATCCACCTGGTGGGGAGGGAAGGGATGGAAAGAAACCCTCATGTGGTTCTCCTGGCTACAGCAATTTCCTCACCTTCTCCCTCCTTCACTGGAGCCTCAGTTTTGTGATCCATAAAATGGGGCTGAAAGTTCTTTTAAAGATTCAACAAATTGACAAAGTATTTGGAATTGCATTGGGTGCAATGTAAGTGCTTAAAAAATGTCAGCTGCTACAGCTGTTATTTAATGTTGATTAGGGCCAAGAGGCAGAACAGCAGAGTCTGGGCATGGGTTCTAGAACCAGAATTTGGGGTTCAAATCCCAGCTGCCAACTCTCAGGAGCCAATGGCCCTAGGCTAGTTACCTAAGCTCTCTGAGGCTCAATTTCCTTACCTGTAAAACGGAGGTGATAGCATCACTATGTCTCAGGGTTTTGTGAGGATTAGACAAATGTATACAGTGCAATGTTATGGGGTATGTAGGTTACTACAAAAGTTTTGAGACAGACTGTGTTATGGTCAATTATTTCACTTCCAAGAAACATAGTCAACAGCGTCCTTTCTGATTCACCTGTGCAAGTTTCAACTTGCTTGGCTTATCGGTCTCACTGTAAGAGCTTCCATCTATACAGATTTTATATTTCTCAATTTCTATGTATCTCACAACTTTTGTAATGATCCATGTACAGTGGTTGCTTCATAGTAAATGCTGGACAAATGCCAACTATTGTCACTTGTTACCAGGATACCCTGGGTCTCTAATATGCAGCATTTAAGTGAAATTTTAAAATAATAGATAAAAATATGAGTTCCTCCTCTAAAAATGGAAATCTGCTTCTCATCAGAAAAATATGCTCGCTTTTGAAGGATAGGAAGAAATCACAAAGAAAGTACATTTCATATTTTGAGATTCACTGTTTCTTTGAAGGAGAAAGTTAAGAGCTTTCCCAGGGTTGGCCATGGCTGCCGCTTTGCCCTGTGTACAACAATGGTTCTGCTGGCATTGAGGACGGAATCACCAGAGATTAGCCAGGGAATTAAAAAACTTGGTAGCATAAAAAGTATGGCTGAAGAAGAAACAGCAACAAAGCAAATGCTCACCAGGATGTGCACTAAGCTTTTACTTAAAAGGACCAAGTTTTTGAAAACAACTTTAGAGCTAAGGTAAGGTAATGATATTAATGGGAGCAATGTCACTGCTTTCTTTCTACTCCTGGGGAATTCTTATTTGAAAGAAAAAGATTTTTTATCTCACTATCTGACACTCAAATAAAATGCAAACTGGTGTCCTTGGTCATTGCTCAGTAGGAGCAGACATGGACCTCAAGCGTCCTCCCCACTCCGCTCCCTGTGTTCCCACCTGGAACCCCTTTACAGGGCCAAAGCTGGGTCCTCTGTGACTCACCAGGCCCCGGGCAGCGGGGTAGATGGGAGAGAGGGAGAGATCTCCACACTTCACCTCCCACACGGTGCTGGGGTCTAGCCAGTGGTCGGGAGCCACGGCACCATCTATGCGCACGTAGGAGCGGGGTGCAGGAAGCACCAGGTCCTGCAGACAGAGGAGACAGAGCATAGGGTCTTGAACCTCAAAGTCAAGGACTGGTGAGGGTGAAAGGAGGAGGAAAATAAAGGAAAGAAATAGACAAAGAGACACAAACACTCCTTAAAGTAAAAAGCTGGGAAAGATGGGAGCAAGGAGAAATGGGAGATGGGAGAAATGAATGACAAAGACCCTGGGAACCAAGATAGGACATTAAAGACAAAAGAGGCAGAGGAAGGGACAGAGACCTGGAGAGAGAAGAGTAGACACCCAGAGAGAGAGGGAGACAGAGACCTAGAGTGGAGAAATAGAGAGAGAGAAACCAAAGAATTGGAGAGAGATGAACCATGACCTAGAGATAATACAGAGGACAGAGACTCATACCCCAAAATTCCTATGACAAAGACAACACTCCCATTTATCAGGGGCTCACCAGCACTTTACTAAGATTAGTTCCAAGAATGTCTGCAACTGTGCCCATGATTGCCCCAAGTGCAGCTAAGGCACTGAGCTTGAAAGTTGAAGCTTCTTGACCAGTGTCACTAGCCTGTAGCTGGCAGAGCTGGGACTTGAGCCTGGAAGTGCCGGGTTCCACAGCCAGCTGTACTGCCCAGTGCCCTCCCACTCACACACTGAGTCCCAAGGCAGTGGAGGGCAAGAGCCTTGAATGGGAGGAGCATGTAATCAGAGGCATCATGGCCAAGACATGGCCACCAGGGCTTACCTGGAGCTTCTGGTAATGCTCCTCCAGCTCCTCGTCACTGAAGCCAGTTCCAAGCTATAGGGAGGACACAGTAGGTCAGAGGCTCTGATAGTGCCCCAGTGCTTTCTCCTTTTTCCTGCCATGTAAGGACCTGAACCTGTATACACTGGCAGCCCCCATCCCCTTCTGGTCTGAACAGTTTCTAGGGGAAGAGGGTGAGGTAGGGGGCTAGGCATATAGCCAAAGGCTCCTGAAGGCGAGTGATTCTCCCAGCAGGACGTCCACTACCCCACTCACCACCTTCTGCTTTACGCAGACACCTATTCCTTCCACTCCTCTCCTTGGCCCAGGACATCATTCCCTTGGGCTCACCCATATCGCACCTGCCTGGTAACTTGTCCTCACCTCCCACCGTAACACTGCCAAGAGGTTCTTTTTTTTTTTTTGAGACAAAGCCTCGCTATGTTGCCCTCGGTACTGTGCCGTGGCTTCATAGCTTACAGTAACCTTAAACTTTTGGGCTTAAGTAATTCTCCTGCCTTAGCCTCCCAAGTAGCTGGGACTACAGGCACCCGCCACAACACCTGGCTATTTTTGTTGTTGTTGTTATTGTCGTTGTTTACCAGGTCCAGGCTGGGTTCGAACCCACCAGCCTCATTGCATATGGCCAGCGTCCTAACCACTGAGTAACGGGACGCCAAGCCTGCCAAGAGGTTCTTTCACCTACCAAAATAGGAAAAGCTGCCGGGCATGGTGGCTCATGCCTGTAATCCTAGCACTCCGGGAGGCTAAGGAGGATGGATAACTTGAACTCACAAGTTTGAGATCAGCTTAAGCAAAATCAAGATACCATCTCTACTAAATTAAAACTAAGGGAAGAGGATCACTTAAGCCCCCAAATTGGAGGTTGCTGTGAGCTATGACACCACATCACCTGAGCACTCTACCCAGGTGACAACTTGAGACTCTGTCTCAAATAAATAAATAGGAACAGCTAAAAAGCAGTAATACTTGATGCTACTGTATCAACATGCAGCAAGATGGGCATCTCTGACCCATAATGTTAACCTAGAAAGCCCTTTTTATATAGAGAGTCTAAAAATGTTCTTGCCTTTTGTCCTAACAATAGCTCTTTTAAAAAATCCTAAAAAAAAAATCTATTCGTAAGTAATTTAAAATGGTGACAGATTGGTTGCCAAAGACTTGCAAATTATAAAATCACTTCTATCAGTGATTATTTAGGTTAAATATATGTGAAGTACTGATAGTTATTTATGAGAACAAAGCTGGTAACAATCTAACTGGTTCATGAAAGGGAGTATATGCACTGGAAATTGTGCAGGCATTCAAGTGGTTGCCATATTACTTAAGCACATATGGTAACATTTAAAATAAAGTATTCACAGGGGAAAAAGGCAGAAAAAAAATTACTCCTAGAGGAGGATCATAATTTTGTAAAAATAAAAATAAGACATCCCTGCAAATGTTACTAGTGCTTGCCTCTGGGATTCTGGGTGATATTTTGGTCTGTTTCTGTGGGAAAAGACCCAAATTTGTTGGATATTGGAATATAAGAAATACACAGCTAGTCACAATGTGCATAGCTTGAAACAAACATACACATTTCCCAGAATCCCTTGCAGACAGAAGTGGCCCGTTAAGGAAAATTTTTCACTGGCTGAGGCTGACTCTGGGGCTCGCCCCTCTTTGTCCTCGTGCCTTCCACCTTTCTGCTGCTTGGAACATAAGTAGTCATGATAACTGGAACACCTGTAGCCACATTGTAACAATGAGGTCAGAAGAGCATGACAAAAACTAGTGTAGGGAAACAGGAAGAGCTTAGACCCCTAAAGACATCAGAGAGCTGCGTGCCCCCTCCATATTTCTCATTACATGAGAGAAAAATCCTTTTCTTACGTAAGCTAACAGTATTTAGGACTAAAATGAATTCCTAACTGACATAGGCTCCTTACACCTTTCTATATAAGCCCATTTTTCTATAAAAAGCAAGTTACTTATAGAATAAGAAAACAAAAATTAGGAAAAAATAAGCCTTCACAGGGAGGACATAAGCGCCTCTTGGTCTGGGCTCTCCCTAGGTTGCCAGTAGTAAGTCTCCTCATAAGCCTAGTCCACTCCCCTCTTGCTTCTATAGTCAGTGCCCAGCCCCAGGACCTTGCATATAGCCTGCAGCTCCTCACTGTCCTGGTCGTAGGAGGCCAGCAGGAAGCCCCCATACCGGCCAGCCCGCTTCCCTCGGCCCAGGTAGGCTCCGATCACCACAAGGTCCAGGGTGTCACCCACACCATCGAGGTAGTCCTTCTTCAGCTGGGAGAAGGAAAGGCAAGATATGAGGGGGGAGGACCCACAGGGGAGAACCCACTGTTGAAGCTAATCAGAAGGCTGGGGAGAACTTCCAGAAAGAACACTGAGGATGGCCCCCATGAGAAGACTGGATGTGGGTAGGGCTTCTGGGATTACAGAGAACAAACAAGAGCATATAAAAAGGAGGGGGCCTTGTGGGTCATCCCTGAGCCCCAGTTTCAGTCAGTATGGAGACACAGTCCACTCGCTCCACTCCATCCTTCACGAGACAGCACTTACCCACTCACTCAAGAACACTTATTAAGAACTGACTGGCCTGAGGTTTATCTTACAGGGGTACAAGTGACTCTTTCTAAGAGTAGAATGTGAACGTTTTAAAACAATAACTGAGAAAATGACATGAAGGCTCTGTTGACCAGTTTGATGGAAGTATTTCGGATTGCATGTGAAAACTCCACACTGTACCCCAGAAGTGCATTAATGTACATAGTTACCATTCAATAAAAAAAAAAAAAAAAAAAAGAACTGACTGGTCCAGGCAGAAGCTCAGGTTCGAGGGTATGACTGTGCTTATTTCATAAGACAGGGAAGATTTGTACTCTCTAGGAAGAGAGACAGACCAGAGGCTGATACACACACAGGAAGATGCAGCCAGCAGGCCAACTGGCTCAGTTCCAAAACATCTCCTGTGCTCACCCCTCACTCATGGCCCCTCCTCTACCCAAACCTTCATGTCTTTTACCGAAGATAGATTCCTGCTCACTCCCACTTCAGTCCAGCCCTCCACCACCTATCCACTATGCACAGGGAAACCAGAAGACCTTTGCAATATGACAACCAGATCCTATGACTCCTCTGCATGAAACCTCGCCCTAGAGGAAGATCCAGTTTTATCTGAAAGTGGCCAGGGGCTTCTCTCCACTCTTTCCTCATCTGCCCCTGCTCCCTGCATACACCGAACTTATTCTTACCTCAGGGCCTTTGTACTTGCAGCCCCTCCACTAGGTGCTTAGTCTCTGATGGCCATGTGACCAATCCTATCCTATCGTCTACATCTCAACCCAAATGCCACCTCTTCCTGATCACCTAGAGCACTCCCTGATCTCTCTGGCCCTGAGTGGACTCACTATCCTCCTGGTGCTCATTATCTTGTTCATTTACTGGCTGACTTCCTTCCTGAGTGCCTGGCTATACTGAAGCTTGGAGAAAACAGAGACTTCATCTAAATTTCACCTGCAGTTGTCACTCAACTCTTGGTAAGCTCACGGATCGGACACAAAGTAGGAGTGTGAATAGGGCTCCTGAGCTCAAACAGGATGCAAAGTAGAGACTTGATACTGACTGCACAGTTGGGGTGAACTTCCGGACCCAGGCTCTAGTGGGCGAGTCCAGGTCAGGATGGCAATCACCTTGAGCCAGTTGTGTGATCTCTTGGCAATCTCGTAGGTGGCATCAACATCCAGGGTCTTCACCATCAGCCCCTCGCAAGAGTCTGAGGGAGACACATAAGCATGGTTCTTGGGAACCGCTGGCTCATAAGGGCTGGAGCAGGTGGGATTTTGCAAAATCACCGGGCTGGGGGACAGGCTGGGAAGCTTGAGTCACCACAGTCACAGGGAAGGAACAGACTTTGGTGGAGAAAAGAGAGGGTGCCCTCACCTTTCACAGACTGCTCCAGAAACTCGGCAATCTGCTCAGTGTCCTTGGTGTCCAGGGAAGTAGCGAAGACAAATTCACCCTCTGTTTCTACAAAGTTCTCTCGGAGCAGCTGCCGGCGTCGGGAAAGAGGCTCACGTACCAGGGACTGAGAAGCCGGGGAGGGAGGAGAGAAGATGGGATGTTATTGAGGAAATAGAGACAATAAGCTCTGACTGTGAAGCAAACAGAAAACACAGGTCACAAGTAGCAACATGGTTTACAGGAAGCCTTGAGAGGGAAGAGCTTAAAGCATAGGCTTAGTCACTGGCAAGAGGGGTTGGACATCACTTAGAGTCGGCAACCTCAGGAACACCAGACAGGGAGCCAGGGCCTTAAATGAACACTTGATGGGTCTCTTGCTGCATAAACATTTACCATTAGCTAAAGAAAGGCAAAATCAAAGCCAAAAAGCATGCTTCTGAGAGGCTATTTCCTATTTTAATCCAGGGGCCTGCAATCTTTTCAATAGTAAATACTCTCTGCCCTTTGCTCTGTCATAACCATTAAACTCTGCTGCTACAGAGAAAAAGCTGACACATATGATGCAAAGGCTGGCATTCCAGTAAAACCTTTTTCTACAAAAACAAGCAGTGGGGCAGATCTGGCTCACAGGATGCAGCCTGCTGAGCCTTAAATGAGACCCTATCTGTTCATGGGAAAGATCTGCTCACTTACACTCAAAAATGAACTCACTAGCCTTGTGGAAACTGACTTTATTAGCCTTGGTTGAATTAACCCATCCATCCTTATATATGCTGTAAATTCTCTTAATGGTCAGGTACATGTTGGAAATCATTTAAGTAGAAGCAAACCAGCATGAAGCCTGCTTCTTACAAATCCATCAAGCAGGCTGGGGACATTGGGGAAGTCACACAGGGAGGAAGAAAAAAAAGGAGAGGAAAGAAACATCCTAACAGGGCTCCCCTCTGCCATGCTGCCTGAAATGGGGACTTACTGCTCCTGGGCTGGCCTGCTGCGTCTCTGCAAGGCAACGTCAGCAACCCTGAAACTATCCAGCTTTGCTCCCAGACTCCCTCCGAAGGGAAGATTCTGAATAAAGATGATACTAGTGGTGGCAAAGCAGCAGCAGTTGCTGTGCATCTTTCTTGACCACCTGGTGCCAGCTGCTGTGCTGAGGGAACTCCAGGAAAAGCTGTGCCCAGCACTGTCTCACAGAAGCAAAATGTGGCCACATTTTTCATTATAGAATTTCTAATAGCCATGTTAAAATGCAAAAGAAACAGGTAAAATCATTTTAATAATACACTATATTTCATTTAACCTAGTGTCTAAGATATTATTTCAATGTGTGAGGAACATAAATTATTAACCATATATTTTACACTCTTTTCTTGGATTAAATCTTTATAATTGGTGTGTATTTTCACCTTTATACCACAGTTCAAATTGGACCTGCCACCTTTCAAGAGCTATATGTAGCTGGTGACAGCTGCATTGGGTATCACAGGTCCAACTGATGTTCCTAGGGTAGCTATCACTCCATTTTGGATGGGAGAGCTAAGACTCAGAGAGGTTAAGTCACCTGCCAAAAGTCACCAGCTAGGAAGTATGTGTCTAGGATATAAGAGTGAGAAAGTCTGACTCCAGAGTCTATACTCTCAACAGTAAAGTCACTCTCTCATTTTTTTGTATGAAATGTTTACTAGTACAACCTTGAAACAGAAAAAAAATGCTAATAATGGAAAAAGCCTGAATGTCTACCTGGAGGGCAAGAAGTAAAGTTAGTTCTTTTGATCTGATCAGTTCCTGTGTGTACACACGTTTCTGCTGGAAACAGAAACGTGTATAGACAGGAACTGATCGGATCAAAAAGAAAAAGCAATTCATAGTGGTGGGAGAATGAACTAGTCAATAATTGTAGGCTGAAATAATTACCTTATTTGTTAAAAACCAGATCACCCACTGGGGCAAGGTCCATATGGAATACATATTTCAAAATAAATACAAAACCGTAAAGGTTCTAGAAGAAAACTTAAATGAAAACTTTTAGAATCCTCGAGAAGGGATGACTTTTTAAAAAATATCTTGGGGATGAGGATATATTAAGGAAAAAACAATGATATATTTCACTATGAAAAAAGCAATAGGCTCGGCGCCTAAGGTGGCGGGTTCGAATCCCCAGCCCGGACCCGCCAAACAACAATGATGGCTGCAACCAAAAAATAGCCGGGCGTTGTGGCGGGCGCCTGTG